TAATAAATAAATAAATACAAGCTTACCTCGTTTACAGCTCTCTTATATCATCCCAGCAACTCAACATATCCAAGCTTTCATTATTTACAGGGTATAAACTATATACAGAAGCTGAAAAAAACAGGAAAAAATGCCGTAAAAATCCAAATCATAAAATTACTTTTTATTTACTTTTTTTTCTTGTTGGCTGCTGGGCTGAAATCTCGGGAGGTATTATCAGACACGTTTTCCGGTAATTGAAGTGTTTGTTGTCGTTGCTCCTGTTATTGCTATTGTTGTTGTTGTTGTTGCAGGCAGCTGGCACAGTCCACGCATCGTGGCTCTCATAATTCTCTAGTTGTGACAAATCAACGCCCTCTTCTATTTAACTTCCTGCTGCCTTTTTACGAGTGTGAGCGTGTGCGTGTGTGCGTGTGTGTGTAGTTTTAGTGTAAGTCCTTGCTCATCTTCTTCCTTTCGTATTTGCTTCTTCTTGTTGTTGCTTTATCAAAAGTAATTTCGCTTTTATTTCCTTTGACTATTGCCAGCGATTTCCGTTATTTTTTTCTCCCGTCAATAATTTCATCTCATTTCATTCTTTGTCATAAAAAATGTTGCAAGTGAAGAAGTTTGTTATCCTTGTTGTTGTTGTTGTTGCTGTTGTTATGCCATTTGATGCATGCAATATGCACAAAGTTTCCTATTTCAATAAAGAAGAATACTATAAGTCGAATTGTGGATATAAATCTATAAAAAAAAATCTCACAACGTTAATAAAACTTGTTGGGGTTGCGAATTTTTCTATTAAGTAGACAGCAGCTGCGAGACAACCAACTAGCTCGAGTGTTTTCTTACACATAACTTAATAAGAAATATTCCAATTGATCAAAAATCTTAATAAGCGCAATTGTTTGCCCTTTTCACACACAATCACACAGATTCAGTTTAAATACTTTCGGGTGAATATCATAACAGATCTTATTTATTTAACAGCACTGTGTAACAACATATCGACTTAGGGCGCAACGGACTTGATTGAGTGACTCTTTAACAGTGAGCGCTAGCCATACCCTTTAGTGCTCACTGTTAAGTACCCACTAACTTAGTGCACTGAGTCTGTTAACAGCGCAGCTAATAGCAAGGTTATGCAAATCGATCTGTTATGTTAACGCTGCCATTAACAGTGCGCAATTAGCTTCTCAGCGTTTGCCTATTTAGCTATTTTCCTGCCGCCAACACAGAGAGTCGTAAGCGAAGTATTTAAACATTTATAAGGTTTTCGAACAGCTGCTCCAACGAAAGCTCTCATCCTGGTAGCTGTTCAGCGTTTTCTAGATTTTTTGGCTAGTTTGTAAGTACATATGTATATAAAAATTTTTTTTTAATATGTTGTATTTGAAGTAAAATTTCAAACAAATTGTATATAAAAAGTGTAGCTGTTTGCTAATTGGAGTGACATTTGCAATCGCATCTAAATATCAATATAGAACTTTCTTATTGACAGCACTTTTATTTTTTTGGTATTTAATTGGTTTTGTGTGAATGCCTTATTAAGCAGCCCTGTGGTGCACATATACACACACGCACACATCTCGTAACAGTTTTTCGCAAAGTGACAGCAACGGCGGCATGACAAATGCAAGTGCTCGGTTTCTTTTTTATTTTTTTTTCAAGTGAAAATTTAGTGAATATAAATAAATAAATGTGTATATAATATAAAAATGTATAAAATATAATTTTCC